CCGTGATATCGGGTGGGAGGTCTCCAGTAAGAGCGCGTCGTAGGGGACCTTCAATCAGGCTCGCGAGGTTAGGGACCTTATCCAATAACTCCGCACCGAACCTACACGCCAGTTGCTCCAACGCTTCCTTGGCACCTCGTCGCATGATTCGAGCTTCCCGAGACTCCTGCTCGAATCTCGTAGCGTCAAGATGGTCTTTCTTATCCTCTTCCTTTCGAAGCGATAGAATTGCCGTTTCCAGGCCAGCGTTGTGATGGAACTCCGGTGTCTCCGAAGTGTCGATGCAGCAAAACTTGACAAGATTTCCAATCACCTTATCCACAGGGCCACGTCTAGAGGCACTCGTATAGTACTGTACAAGAGACGCAACAGCTGAGGCTGATCTTTGCTGCAGTTCAACGTTTTCCTCTTTCTTGACACTGTCCATCATCCCCTTAATAATCTGGCTTGGCTTCCTGGGGATGTCATGAAGAGCGACGAGTGCGCTTGCCGCCGCGGCTCTAATTCTCATATCCCGTTGGTCTTTAACCTCCTTAGCTTCTTCAACGGCTGTTAATGCACTTGCTCGCGAATCATTAAGGACCTGAAGCGCGGTCATTCTCTGTGCTGGGGAAAGGCTCCGTTTGAGTTTTTCAAAATCAGGCCCAAGAACCTTTTCGGCATCCGAAATGGAAAAGGCGCTGGGGCCGGCGTCTTGATCTCCTTGGACGATGACTGCCAGCATCGGAAGGGAGAATTGTGAAACGTGTGCATGGTCCCTGAAGGCGTTGAGGAGGGAATGACACTGTGCACGGGCAATATGTAAATAACTCGCTATATCGCTATACCACGACGGCCTCTCATTTTCAATCACTGGATTTAACGATTGAGATAACAGAGAAACATATCTGGTCTTGGCTCCTTGTATTTTCGCATACTCAACGGTAACCATGGCAGCCACTAGTTGTGAACTCGAGCCAGGCGCCTTTAGATAAGGTAAAATGGTCTGCCATATATTTGAACGGTCATTGCTATCCCAAGTAGACAAAAATCGGCCCAGAGCAGTTGCAGCGTAGATCTTTGACCTAATAACCGTTTCCACCCCGACGAGATCAATGTCGCCTTGTAACATGTGACCATCTACATTGTGAGTGAAAACTGCTGTGGTATCCTTTTTCTCAGCCTTTCGTCTTCGGCCCTTGACAGATGGTTCTGGGGCTATCGTAGTGGGGGAGGGTTTTCTTGGAGGAACGCCAGCGGAAGTGTAGGGTAGTCCAGATGGTCGAATAAAAAGAGAAGCATCCATAGGAATAGGGTATCGCGGTACGCCAAAAGGGCTCATGGTTAATGTGATGAGCGGCTGAAGAGATGGCAGGAGTTCATCATCTGTTCTGAACAGGCCACGGTCTTCCAATGCCTGGAGCAACTCAACCCAGACTTGGAGTGACAATTTGAGAACGCCCTCGTTCCGTTCAACAAGCAGGTTTTGAAAAATAAGCCGCATTGCTTTCCCATCAGCCCATGCGTTTTGTCTCTCGCTATCAAGTTTCAGGAAAGTGAGTAAAGCTCGAAGTACTGCAGAACGCACACTGGTGATGGTGTGGCGTAAAAATGGGAACAGCCTCGGGACAAGGTTTCCAAAGGACGATTCGGAGTCTTGAGCAGCGTTTGTTTTCATCGCTTTAAGGACCTGAGGGAATGTGCAAAGTTTGGAGAGTAGGTCCATAACAGATCCTGTGCTAGCACTAAGATCATCTTGGAGATTAGAGAGGCACTCCCACACGATGTTAATCAGCGAGTTTAGAGACCCAGGTCGAAGTCTCACGAAATCCTCTGCGATAGGAACTAATGTAGCGGCGCTGACAGCACGGACATCGTCGTCGTAATCGCCCAACCCTTTCATCACGGCAGCAATAACCCCATCGAGGATTTCGGGTTCCTTTAAGAGAACATCAGTCCGGACAGCAACCAGGTACTTGAGTCCGATCATACCGCCATGGCACACTTCCCAAATAGGACTAGAAAGACCGAGATCGTTTTGCATGATCATTCTATACAGAATGCGATAAACAGAAGCCAAGGATCTTGTGGGAAGATGTAATAGAAGGGCAGCCAGGGTTTGGCCGACGGTTTCACGAATCGGGGCGACTACATTGTCCGAAATGTAGTCACCGAAGCGATCTAGTAAGAAAACGCAGAGAAGTCGGCAGGCCAGGTCATTCAGCCACCGATGATTGAACATGTCGTTCTGGCGTCTCGATTTACCACGAACTCGCCCGGCTCCAGCACCTTGGACACGAATGACTTCCCGCAGACCCATGGCCGCACCGTGACGAATCTCCCAGCTAGGGTCAAACAAATCAACCATCAGAAATTCGCACATTCTTTCATATGGCCATTCCAAACCTTCTTCCTCTGCATCAGTCTGAATTACTGGTTTTTCAGGGATGACGGGCCCTTTGAATTCCGATACGATTTTACTGTCATCGTCTGGCTCAGTTCTCTCCAGCGAAAAGTAATCCAGCTTTTTATCACCATTGCTATCATCGCCGTCTTCCTCCTTTTTGACAGCATGCGGAGTAGAAGCGGTGATAGGGGTTGATATGGCATCAGAATGCTTCCGCACAGCCAAATCGACGACTCGAATTTTATTGGCTCCCATTTTGGCATTTTGTTTATTCTTTCTCTTTAACTGGTTCAGTTGCCGCTTGCTAAGCCCCTGGTCATCGCCATTGGTGGGGGTGGCTTGCATAGGGTCATGTGGGGAAGCCATAGCACAAGATGGATTACTCTGTGTGCTGCTTTTGCGAGAGACAGATGGAATTGCGATCTCGAGCTTAGGACCTGAGACCTTATGCTGTGGTTGGGTAGCGAAATCAGCCTCATTGACCAAATCCTCTTGCATATACTCCCCCCCAAGTCCTAGGCGCGAGGCCAGTGTCTTCTTCTGATGCTGAAGCCTCGAGGCCGCATCCAACCCAGCCAGCGAATATTCATATTCTTTACCGGCACTACCCAGGAGCTTGTGTCCAAACTTCAGAATGGAGCTGATATCAAGAGTATCTACGTCGAGGAGGTCTTCGGAAACAGCATTTTCTGCTACTTCCTTATCCTCTTCCTTCTTGACTGCTGGAGACACATCATCATCTTCGCCGACAACATCCTCCGCGGACTTGGGGCCTTCATCAGCATTGGGATCAAAGCGCTCAGCGTACCCTACAATGCCGCCTATTGCCTTAGCAGCTGCAGTCCGGGTGTCCCATGATCTGGACCGCAGATATGGCAAGATTCGACCTAAAAGATTGAACAATTCATCTGGATGTTGTTTCTGGACATCTGCAAGCTGCTGCGCCGCAGTGTTTCTGATAAGGGGAGTGCTTCCTGTTTCCAGAAGACTGTATTACGCCGTGTGATGGGTCAGTTTCAGGATGAGCCAACAAAAATTGAGAGTGGCGAGTGATAAAACTCACGTGACAAGTCGATCAAGCCTAACCCAAAAAAGTTAGTTATGTGGCTCAGCAGCATATAACCAGATGTGATTGGTGGAAGAAGATTGAACGTACCTGGAAGTCATTGCGAGTCACGGGACCGGCAGGCAAGAATAGGGGGGAAAAAAGGAAAAAGAAAAAGAGTAAATAAAACGTGATAGGGCAGGGATCAATGAGTAGGGAGCCCAGTCAAGATAATATAAGAGGAAAACGAGGTGAGGCAATTGTAGGGGGTAATGGTTGTAGCCGGGGAAAGCCCATCACAATACCCATCATAACACGAAAGAAAAAAAAAAAAATATATTAATAATATGAATAATATAGTGAATGCCTCTATTATTGAGACCCGCAGCTGGGTGGTTGTCCTTGTTCTAGTTGAGAAAATAAAATAATAAATAAGCAAAAGCATGCACAGAAGTAAAGGTGGAGCAAGCAGTAGCAGCAGTGGCTGTCGGGGCGGGTGGTAGGTAGGCCTCTGGGGAGTGGACCGGGTTAATAGTGTTAATAGTTTCTTGGGTGCTGGATCTGAGAAAAAAATTGTCGAGGTCGCGCAGGATGTTTATATCATTGGGACAGCCCTCCAGCCAGCGCGCCTACCCATGTTTGCGCCTCGCTAAGCTTGCTGTTTGCGGCCTAGTGCCTGGTAATCCCGGGCGAGGCTTGTAGTAGCGCATCACGTGATGTTGCCCCCTAATCCAATCTGGACCATTTGCTGATCATGGATCGGCCACGGCAGGGCAAATCGCAAATCCCGTCGCCCGCTCAACAACTCAACAACCATCTACAAGCATCAATCGAGCAGACTCTGCATAGTTCCGAGGTGCCCTATCCGATGTTGGTCTCCTTCCAAGCGGGGTGTTGGGTATCCTCTTCACTTTTGAGACTCCGAAGTTGGGATTGTTGAACAAAGCTCAGTTACCCAAAGCCAAGGGCCAAGGGCCAGTCGCCTACGGACTACTTCAACGCTGGTTCCTTACGAGTTCAGGCCTCTTTCCTAATTATTATTATTATTATGTATTGGGATGATGGGTACGCAGCTACATATTCTGACTCCATGATAATATCCCGCTATTCCCTTCTCTTCCTACACCCACCGCGCGGCCAATGCTGCGCCGGCATTACTGTTACTGTTTTTAGCATTCGATGAGTATGTACGGAGTACGGAGTACGGGTTACTGAGCTAGCCTCATCGAAGATGCCCTCTGTTCACTTACCTTCATCCAAGAGCGTTATCACTTTTCAGATCAAATAAATACCTCCATCACCCAAAAAAGCTTGCCCGGCAATAATTGGCATCCTTAAGCTGTGTCAGTGTCGATCCTTCGGGAAATATTAACTCCATAACTGCTCTGCACTCCAATATCCGTCAGACTTACTTGTATCGGTCACTAACTTCGCCAAAACAATGGAATAAGGAGAAATACCGTCGATTTAGCCCAATAGGAGTCTTCCGGAAGCGTTAGATTAGCGTCGAATTTGGGGAAATGCTCCCATTGACCAAGGATATCAATCAGTGTATCGAATGGAAAAATAAATAAATTTAGGGCTATTTAATTGATGGAATACAAAGAAGAACCACGAAGAGAACGGCAACCAGAACCAATCTACGTACTACGTTGGATAGGTTTCATCAACCCCATATTTTTATCGGCAAAGGAAGCCTTTGCACCAAGCCTGGCCGATGCTGCCACTGACATTAGGCACTGCACGGGGTAATAACAATCTATCAAAAGCCAGCGTAAAATTGAATGAGAGTATCTCTGTAAACGGACAAATGGAACACTATAATATTTGCCTTCTTCATATGTAGTAGAAAATACATATATCATAGTTTTTCTTTCATAGATATTGCTATACAACTCATCCCGCTACCACCGCTCCCTTTGTAAAACCCATTGGGTGAAAGCCAGACACAGGAAATCTGCTAAAAGAAAAAAAGAGGGGGAAAAGTGCAAAACCCAGCCCATATGAAAACAGAAAAATATCTCCCCAAATGCATGCTAAAATCTCCCGTCCCCTCCTAACACACAGGATCATCGAGCCGCCAGTATTGCCTTTGATTCCTCGTCCTTGCCCAGTAATCCTAACGAACGGATTTGTTCCGCCTTTGGCGCATTCTCTCTGGGATGTGACGCCTCTGCCTTCCGGTATGCCTGTTGCATGGCCCGAATTCGCGCTGCCTGGATGTCGTAATTTTCGGTTAGCCACGAGGATCATTCCTGTTATTCCCCAACGTGGTCTAAATAGCTCGTAGATAGATACTGTCCGAATATACATATTCTCGATGGCAGCGGTTCCCTAGAAAAACCTTACCTCTTTTCTATGATGCAAACATTCGTTGTAATCCTCCAGTGCCGGGACACACTTCAACTTTCCTGTATCCCCTTCACTGGCATTAATTACGTAGCAACCGAGGAGTTCTTGCCAGAAGGGAAAGCAGCGGGACGGGCCTGAATAGATGGCGGAGGAGAGGGTTGGATGTTAGTCAATGGGTCGGAAGCCGATGCACGAACAGAGCGCGGATTCATGGGGGTCAGAAAGTGCGGAATGGGTAAATGCTTTAACACCAGCCGTAAAAAGGACACATACCGCCATTGAGGCCATAGCCTGATGCCATTGTAAAGTACCAATAGAAGCTTCAATCGCGAGGGGTGAGATAGCTGATTGCTTGCGCTGAGGGGGAGACAAAGGAGTTGGAAGTAGGTTGAGGCTCTTTCTTGGGCAGTTTGTCATTTGTTCCAGCACGAGCGCCGATTGGCCCGAGCTTGGACCAACAGCCTCAACGTCAGGAAGCAACAGACAGTGCAATATACATACATCTACACCATATTTCCGTGTGCCTCTATTCACGCTTCTTGAAATGTCCATATTCGCCATGAGAAGAGTACCACCATGAAAGCCCTTGCAGAATTGTCCGATGCCCATCTTATCCTCCTTGCCGTTCAACTCTGCGTGAACGGCGATGTGTCCGCATTGCCACGTTTACAAACCCATTTCCGTGGTGCTCCCAGCACGGATATATTCTTCCGCATCATATTGTCCTTTCTGCCTGAGAGCACAGAGCCTTCCCGATATATCTCTGTTATCGAGGACCTAGCCAACGGATCTTCGCCTCAGCCTGTGGAAGAAAATGACGATTTTGATGTAGCTTCAGTGGGCGAGTTGTCTACATCTGCAGCAAGGAAGGAGGTCCAACGACTACATCTCTTACCGCTTCGATACCCCGGGAATACAGAGGAGGAATCAGGTAGCCCGCTGGTTCAATTCCTCATCCATCGAGCACACAGAATAGACAACGAGTCGGGGTTACAACCGTTTATTATCGAGCTCCTACAGCCATTCCTTGATACATCGGAGTACCTGCAAACATGGGTCATATCGACCGCGCTACCTCTACTTCGGTTCAACTACGAATATCATTGCGAGAACGGCGTTGAATTATCTTTAGAGATAATAGAGTCACTGGATTCGGGAAGCGCCGTCAATGTCCTGCTGTCAAAAACTGATCGACGAGAAAGGGGTGGAGATGTAGGCAGAGACTTGCGGGGACTAGTTGGCCCTTGGATGTACGGCCATGCGAGATCGAAAAGGCGGAAACTCAATCAACTTGAACATTCGGGGTCAATTGCCATATTTGATAACCGAAATCCTTCGAGTGTGTCTGACAGAACCGGATGGCAAGATGTTAATGAGTGGATCCTGTCGACTAGTATACGGGACTTCCACTTGGCTGTTGAAGCAGTAGAGCAATGGGCAGGTCCGGAGGATATAGATTTTGGCGGTAATAATAAACCCCAAGGGTTGGTGTCACTCGATGCCGACAACCAGCTAGCTCTGAACTATGGTCAAGCCGCGCTGGCTGCTATATATGCGACCACCGAAGCCACCCCAGAAACTCTCGATGGATCCTGCCGGATTTTATATAGGATTGCGTCTCTGCTTGAGATTCCTGGTCACTCTATCTTGCGCATCTTTGAAAACGATCTCGAACCTCTCAATCTCGACCTAACTGCCCTTTCGGATGTATCTCGGGGTGCCATCCTCCAGAATGCTCTACTAGAGCGTTCCAATCCTCTCACATTCCCTACTACTCACACAATTGCGTTTACTGACGCCATTCTTGTTTCTATTCGTACTTTAAATAGCTTCGGCCATGCAATGTCATGCAGGGGCGCCGCGAATATTTGTCTACTTGCTAGTGACGAAATGCAGCTCTCAGAGCTACGCAGTGTTTTCGAGACCTTGCAACGGGATCATAAAACGGGACGCGACTGGCGGAAAATCAGGTCGCAGCTACTCTGGTTGAGAGATTGGGGATATTCTGTTCAGCCCGAGGAACGGGAAGCGAAATCCAGTCCTGGTCATGGGCTGTTCTGGCGCGTTCCCCTGGTTCTCCTCGAGGGGGATGTCTTGAAAGCCATGTTGAACGCAAGGCGTAAGTTGTTGTTGCTTCCCGCGGTAAAGAAGACTCATCATCTAACCAAGCGCAGAATACGAGCTTGCCGTTGAGCTCTACGCCAAAAATCTATCCTCGTCCCCTCTCCCACCAGCACAAGTTGAGCTTGCAGTGACAGACGCAATATTCACATCCTACGATAATGCCACCAATGGAAATAAAACGAGAGGCGGAATAAAACGAGCTTCAGAAATGTACGTCCGCTTCACCCTGGCTTTTGGCAACTAGTTTGTTGACTTTTTCATGACAGGCTCAAATCATTTGGACCTTACTTCCCACATTCTGAATCAATCCGCCAAATCAAGGCGTTGATATCCGCCACACATTCACTATCATTTTATTCTCTCACGTTGCAACATGGCGTCCCATTCCAGCCTGTCAGCATCCGTGCCCATCATGATCCCCTTTCATTGATTGGCAAAGTGCTTGAGCAAAACCCTAAGGCGTATACGGAACTCGACAACCTAATTACAATTGGTCGACATCTCGTTACAGCAGGCTTCCCTGCGCGTCCAAGAGACAACGATGACCCCATGCACAACAAAAAAGCCCCGTCTCGCGAAGAAGAATTGCTAGCTTCAGATCACCGAATCATATCGCTCTCCATCTCCGCGGCCCTAGAATCCAATGATTTCGACACTGCTTATTCCTATGTTCTGACTCGCTTAGCTCCACCATCAATTACATCAAACTCTGCGACTGCTATGGGTGATGATGATGTATCATGGCGCGCTGCGTATAATGCGGGCCGACATCGCTCAAGCATCGCCGAACCAACCAACAAAACACTCCAATCTCAAATCCTCCGCCTTACCCAGCGGATGGAATTACTCTCTCTAGCGCTAATACTCGCACCCTCGCCCGAGAACCTCCCAGAAATCCTCGCCGTATGGCGCCGCTGTGATGAAGAGATGACATCTCTCCGCGCACAAGAGACGGCAGAGGCCGAAAGCTGGGACACGCGTGGCGATAGCATAACCTCCAACTCAAACTTACCCGGCGGTTTTGGCCCGTCCGATGCTGAGCTCGATGCTCTAGAAACCGAACGAGCTAAGCGGTCGCGCACGGGACATGGCAAACGCGCATCCCACTTCGCAGGCGGTTATGAAGAGGCGCCCATGGGCTTATTCGAAGTGGCGCGTGGCGCGGCACAGGCGATTAGCAAGACCGCGTTTCCGCTCCGTGGGCCTGAGGCTGCTTCCGGTGCCGGCCGTGCTTCGAGCGATTCGAGACGTATTAGTATGGATACCATGGGCACGGAAGATGGGAGTGGTGGTGAAGGGGGTGGCGGTGGACGGGTTAGGAAGAGGGACGTTGTTAGTAGTATGGTGACGGGTGGGTTGGCGACTGGGCTTGGGTGGGTGCTTGGTGCTCAGCCGGTCAGCAACAATCATAATGATGCTAGCGCTAATGCTCATATGGATGGGTAATCATGCTTTATGTTAACCACGCAGCTGTCCGTTGTTTTATTTTTATTTTTATTTTACTTCACTTATTTTTTGATCCATGATTGATTGATTATACATACACTAGCCAGCTACAGATACGTTTTGGGCCTAGGGAGTAGTTTGATTTCTTGGTCTAGTTGTCCTTTATTATTGCCTTATGCCTTTTACTAATTATATCCATTTGATTCGATATCGCTATCTTCTGTGATGATGCTAAGAATGAGATTTCACTCCAACACATTCCCGGCTTTATTGCTACAATAATCAGTGCGTTTTCTTTCTGACTACTGCAAGAAAAATATCTATACGCCGTAGTTACAGTAGACAAATCGCAGTCCAATCTCCGCGAAAAAGATTTTAACCTTTGGAATTTCTCGGCGGGGTGACTAGAACAGAAAATAAATATAGAAGATGATACAATAGATAGATATTCGATACGGCCCGTTTCTTTTTTTACTGCGCGCGACCCAACAAAGTTAGCAAGTTAGACTTCAGTTAGTTTCCATAGGTCCCTGTCAAAGCATTGCCAAAACCATATATACTCCGTAGACCGGATCCTTTCCCAGAAGCCTGATGATCCAACACTTGAAGCATTATTGTTATTATTGAAATTGCTCTTCAAATAAAATTTTTGGCGACCTCAGGCGCGGCGCATGGCTTATTTATTTACCTTGGGTAAATAGACTAGATGCTCATACCTGCCCGTAGAAAAGTTTAATTTAGTTCAGGCGATATCCATTTACCTCGGCAAAGCGCGTATAGTTAGTTATATGCTCTCTTTCTGGGGGGATGTTGAGTGGGAGCACCGATCGAAAGCATTCTCATGAAGGTAAGGTATCCTCGGTCAACCCAATAAGGAAGATGCTTGAGAACAAACACGGCACATTACATAGATATACATCCGCAAGTTGTCTAATAATAAAGATTGCTGGTGTTAAGTTGCACGGCTGCTTGACAACAACCACAACAAACCCCTCACCCGGCGGAAGGTCGCACTTGATCGATCGCCCGGCAAGGAAACCAGATAAATAAGCCATACATCGCACTTGTAAGCTGTATAAATTCTAGAAACCTAAGTAATAATAAATCAATAAATAAATAAACAGCATATCAAATAAAATATTTTAAAAACCAAACCTGAGAAAAAAGGGGCAAGGGAAGAATTTTTTTTTAAAAAAAAATGGCAAACTACACCACCCTACCCTCCACGGCCACCAAGCGCCCCGAACCTTTCCAGGTCTCAATCTCCGAGCAACAGCTGAGCGAGTTCAAGACGCTGCTAAAGCTGTCGAAGATCCCTGTGCCAACATACGAGAGTCTGCAGGAAGATGGGAAGTTTGGGATTAGCCATAAGTGGCTGGTGGAGACGAAGAAGTACTGGGAGGAGGAATTTGATTGGTATGCTTCACGTTTCTTCCCTTGTTTGTTAAATTCTCCGGTTTCGAGCTGGGGATGGGCATTATATGCTATAGATTCTTTATGCGTCGCTTTGGGATTTGTAGGTGATGGGTTTTATTCGAGAGGGGGCGGGGTTGTGCTCTTAGTCTTCCTGGGATGCTAGCTGTATAAATATATAAAAACGCTGACAATCAGATATATTTTACATACAGGAGAAAAACCGAGGAGTACATCAACTCATTCCCCAACTTCATGACAACAGTCAATCTCCCCGCCGGTGGGAATGAGGAATTTAAAATCCATTTCGTCGCTCTATTCTCCCAGAAGGCTGATGCGATCCCCATTGCAATACTCCATGGCTGGCCAGGTATCTATAGACCCCAGATCTATACACCCCCCGACGACCAGAACGATCTCCAAAACCCAAAAAAAAAAAGATAACCTAACCAAATCACTCAATAAAACAGGAAGCTTTTTCGAACACCTCCCTCTCCTCACCCTAATGAAGGAGAAATACACCCCTCAAACCCTCCCTTATCATCTGATCGTCCCCTCCTTACCCGGCTACGCCTTCTCCTCCGCACCCCCGCTAACGCGCAACTTCGACCAAAATGATGTAGCCAAGATCATGCACCAGCTCATGGTGGATCTTGGGTTTGAATCCTCAGGCTATCTGGTGCAAGGTGGTGACATCGGGAGTATGGTTGCAAGGAGAATGAGTGAGTTTTATGACGCGTGCAAAGGTATGTCATATAGAAATAACCCAAGAATAAAATTAATAAAAGAAACTTCAACCCCCATCCCTCTCTACCCTAAGAACCACAAATCCACCAATCCAAAAAAAAAAAAAAAAAAAAAAAAAAAAAAAGAAAAAAAAAAAAAAAAAGAAAAAAGAAAAATCCATACCAACATACAACACAACCCACCCACCAGGCTTCCACATCAACTTCTACCCAACACCAACCATAACCTCTCCCCCGGACGGAATCGCCACCGACGGGTCCCTAACCGACTCAGAACGGGCGGGCATGCAGCGCGCCGAGCTATGGAAGAGAACAGGCAACGCATATTCGATGGCACACGGCACGCGACCCAGCACCATCGGTCTCCTGCTGGGCACTAGCCCGCTCGCGCTGCTGGCGTGGGTGGGCGAGAAGTTCCTAGCCTGGTCGGACGAGCCGCTGTCGACGGAGGAGATCTTGCGATGCGTGACGCTGTATTGGTTTACGGAGTCAATGGGGAGAGGGATTTATCCGTATCGGAGTGTTAGTATTTTTTATTTTATTTTTATTTCTTAAAATTTATTTTTTTTCTCGCGAATTTCAGGGGTTGTGTTTCGATGCTATACTAACCACTAGTAAATTTCCAGCGGACTCTGCTGTTAGAGACACAAACCCAGAACAAGCCGTTCGGGTATTCGTATTTCCCCAAGGAAATCTGTCCCACACCGGCAGCATGGACGGGGAAATTGGGTGATATGGTATTCTATAAGGAACATGACAAGGTACGCATATCTATCTGTATGGCCGGCTCTTTTATTTTGTCCTTTTTTTCCTCGTCCATACTTTTTTTTCAATTGGGATGGGATGGATGTCGTTGGGCTGACTTTAGGTACGCTGATTCTTTTCCAGGGCGGGCATTTTGCAGCGTTGGAACAGCCGCAGTTGTTCATGGAGGATTTGGAAGCGTTTGTTGCGGCGTCTTGGAAATGAACAATAATAATAAACAGTGGGGGAATCGAATGTGGGGAGGTAGTTTTCCCGCTAGGGAAAAGTAGAAGCCGAGAAATGAAATGGGCCGCTCTTTAAAGGAGAAATTTGATCCTTGGAGCGTTGCTCGGAATGAAATATGCCATCGAGAGAGCGACTGGATGTAACTAGATATGATGATCTGGAGTTGGGTCTAGTTAGCAATTATTATGACGATGAATGGAATAACTCTTTTCGCCCAAAGTTTCCCGATCTGACAGAGCCAGACATCCATCGCCTTTTCTGGTACGTATTGTTCGACGTTCTGATAGCTCCTCCCATGCCAAGCTAGGTTCGCTCTGGCTAGAGGATTTCATAGACCCATTCCACATAGGATCGGACAGAAACCATGGCCCATGTGGACCTCTGTCATGGCGTGTATAAAGCCCAAGGATTGTCCGGAGCCAGAACAGGTCCTGCATCTCAGATAAAATAGAAGAGAAAATAAAGAAGGGGTGAAGGTTAGAGGGAAGAAGGCGAACAATAAAACAATCCAAACATTCCATTTTTCTCTTTACTCTATCTTTCAAGCTTATAGCTCAAGACAAGTTGAATCGGTATTTAGTCTTGAACACGAAAGGCAATCCTGAAGAAGCAGAAGCTCAAGGACACAGAACAAAACGGAAAAATGGAACAGAAAAAAGCTACACCAAGACAAAAGGAGATGGCTAGGAAGAAAGCAAGTAAAAACAAATAATATAATGAGAATAAAATAAGTGTATATCCTAAAAAACTCCGGTCTCCTCGACAAAGTATATGTGAGAGAAATGCTGTGTCTGTTTGGTCATCCGTTTGTCACCCATCACAAGGCGTAAAAAGTAAGGGAAGTGAAAGAAAAAGAAAAAGAAAAAGTTGACATAATAAAGAAGAGGTGGTAGTGTGAGGTGAAGATAAATCAAAAAGAGGAAAATACAGAACGGTTAATCCAAAGATTCAGCCCAGCAATAACAACAGGCTGCCAGTTTAATAAAACAAAGGAGATGTATAGCGAGATTCGTGGTCATGTGGAAGCCATGAGAGAAATTAAAAGTCAGAAAACGCAAGAACACGAAAACGAAATGCAGCAAAATAGAAAAGAAAAAATCATCTCAGACAATTCATGAAATGTGACGTCAAGACGGACGCGACCAAGTAGCCCGTTAAATAAGGATAATTTGTTCATTAAATGACGGGGCACGTGGCTCAGGTTAAAAGTGTGATGTCCCAGTAAGCGCGGGACAAGATAGATAGATGGTATGTCGCGGTGAAGTTGTAGTAGATTGGAACCAAGTTGGCGAGTCTTAGAATAAGGATGGTAGGAAGGGAAGGAGGAGTATGCGTGCTGGCAACCGTCCATTTGTAGTTGCCCAACATGCTCTAATCTTGCCAGCCCCACACCTGTTTCAGGAAATGTGCCATATTGACCTTCTTGGTTTTCATTTCGAGCATCCAGGGATGTTCTGCCATCCGCCATGGTGTTGCTCGTCTTGGTGGCTCCTTTTCCAAACTATGCAATTTTATAAGTGTCAGTTCCTGTTAGGCATTGGTTGTCTCAAATCACAAGAAAAAGAATGAGGTAAAATAAAATAAGAAACAGGGTAGATAAACGCACCAGCACTCAATGAAATATTTGAAGTTTTCACTCCATTTTATGCCGTTTTCAGGTTCATCCTTCAAACGTGGGATTGGCTGACGAACAATGTATGTTAAAAGGTCTATCAGGCCTGCACGTGGCTGCATCTCTGTTCCATCTGCAGGGAATGGGAACCGGTGTTGAGCTACTTCGAGAAGCGTTACTCCAAGAGACCAAACATCGGACGTGATGGTGTAAGATTGGCCCGTGATTCGCTCAGGGGCCATGTAATAAGATGTGCCAATAAATGTGTTTGCGTCGCCCTTGGTGCCGAATTCGCCGCTGACTCCAAAGTCACAAAGCTTGACTTGGCCATTTCGACATAATAGAATGTTGGAAGGTTTGATATCTGTGAAGGAAGGTTAGTTGATGGATATATTGGGGGTCAGATGACTTGTTCAGACCGGCAGTCTTACCTCGATGAATAATTTTACGCCCGTGTAGGTAGGTGAGGCCGTTTAATACGCCCTCAGCTACCTTACCCAAAACTTTCTCTCCTGTCCGTCCTCCAAGCTTTTTTACTTCTCTATAAACGCTATCCAGGCTGCCTCCTTCGCAAAATTCCATAGCAATTGATATGGTGCTGGTTGACTTGTCCATAAACGCACCGTAATACCGGCAAATATGTTCCGATGCACAGTCTTTATTGAAATTCAGTTCTCGAACAATCTGCTTTTTAACGTCTGGGTTTGGATCTGTGGTGATAATCTGTAAATATCGAACAGAGAGTATTAGTGACAGGCCTAGATGGATGTTTAATATGAATATATGACTGGCATTACCAACCTTTAGAGCAAACACTGTCTTCCCACCTTTCAGCATGCAACGCGTGACGGCACCACCAGCTCCCTCACCAAGACTGTCAAGCTCAATGATCTTCTTTTGAGAGCTGGCGGCCAGCCAACCTTCATCGTCTAGGTCTTCCACATCTAACGGCCGCCCTTTCTCTAAACTCAGTTTCTCTAGATCCGGTAGCAAACCATTCACGCTGTTATCTCTTTCCATCGATAAGCCACCATCCCCCCGGTCGGAATATACCGAGCTGATAGCAGAAGTGGGGTCAGGGGTTCCTCCTGGAGGTTGCCTCAAACCCATGGCGAAAGATAAGGCAGAATAGTTCGAAGATGTAGCTGAGGTGGGCCCACTGGCCCGGCCATCGTATGTGGTGAAGCTTCCCGACCTTGAGTGGTTGCTATAGTCACTATTGTAGGTAGTTGCAGAAGAACCCGACAAGGGTGGCATATATGGTCGTCCATTGTGCAGAGGGCCTGCCTCTTGCGGAGTTCCTTTACTTCCCTTGGGTGTGGCTAACCTCAGCTGAGGAGGAGCTGGGCGCGCAGGACGTGGTTGAGACAGTTGGGGGACATCCGGACCAGAGTTTGTGCCAATTCCAGTTGAATTTACAGGGTTCAACTTGGGCGATCCTGGGATCCCCAGTTTGAGACGAGGTGCTTGTTTGCGGTTGGAACCCGGAGTCGGTATCTTTAAAAGGGGGGCTGGAGACGACATGTTGGACATGAGTGCCTTTCACAGGGTCACGGCGGACCTTTTTCCTTCAAGTATCTCGGGAGCAATATCCAGGTTAATCGAACACAAGTTCGTGGATAGGTAGGCGAATCGAAGGGGACGGGGAGCTGATTATATATGGCCGGGGAGAGTCGAAGGATATATGTATTATAGAGAGTGTGGCTGAGAAATTAGCTTTCGAGCACTGCCGTTGACTGGTAAAGGGATCTGCGGGGGAGCGGAGCGAAAGGAGGCTGATAACTAGGAGTGGGTAGAGGGATCAGATAAAAAGTCACGGATCAGATATGTTGCTGACATTCGTTACTATTAACGGGTTTCGAGGTCGGATGAATGTAGAGGCACTATTCTAAGAGCGGACTTGGGCTTGCAGCGATTGGAAGGAGGCTTAAGTCAGGTATGGGAAGGATGTATATTGCCTGGTAAAAATAGTGTCAACATGGAATCCGGCGTCAAATTTAGATAGATTGTGAACAGAAGAGCAAAGTCGCTTGCAACTCGCTCGGGGTTAAACACGGGCTCCAGGGCAATGGGCTCCAGAATCGACGTAGAAGAGAAAAAGAATCGAGGGAACGTGTTCTCTGGAGATATGAGGTTACGATAGAGATGGAGGTTGTGGAGGGGGTGGGGACAGAGGGGTTCAAGGAACGGGGCCCGGAGTGGAGAGGAGGAGGAGGAGGAGGAGGAGGGGAGGGGAGGCGGTGATCTGCTGCTATGACCGCCTCCTGTCCTGTCGTCACTCACTAGATAAACATGCCAATAGCCAAGAGGAGGGGAATCGACAAGTACAACAAGGGATAATAATCCCAAGGGCGATGATGGTGATGAGAGAGGACCGACTGCCCCAGGGATAGAGATGAGGATGGGAGGAAGAAGCAGAGAATGAAAGAAGGGCGGGCCCTGAAACTGAGGAGAAGTGTGTGCCTGTTTCCTGTTTGCCTTGCCTGGTGCTTGCTGCCTCTCTGCCTTTGCCTTTGCCTTTGCCTTTGCCTTTGCCTTGCTCTGGTCGGTCTGGTATGGTATGGGTCTGGGTCTTGGGTCTGGGTCAGCCCACGGCCGCACAGTTGTTGGCGCTGGTACTCAGAGTGGTTTGGTTGAGTGGTGAGTTGGTTGCTTGGAAGTACATGTATATTTATTGTTATTTATTGTTGGACCTGGTTTGTTGTCTGTCCCTTTCAACGGTTGAGCCCCTGCAAAGAAACGGCCCCCAAATAATAATAACCACGACTTGTTACGCTGCGTACAACTACCAGGGAAAAATCATGCCACCCGTGAAGGGAATCAAATGGAGGAGGAGAAACTAATACAGAATATTTCTTTTTTCCTCCTTTCTAATTATCGATATTATCCTCCAACATTCAATTATTCTGCTTTACTCACACCTTCAACTCTCCCCGATCTAGCTACGTGTCGTGTTGCTTCAGCTGAAGTAAATAGCCTCGCGCCGTGCGTGTGGTGGAGCGTTGAACCTACCCACCTAATTCACAAAGGGCGAGAGAGAGAGAGGACAAGGGGAAAAGAAGGGGAACGCGCAAGGAATCAAAAAATCAAGGAGCCAAAAAGTGGAGAGGCAGAATTACTTTGTTTTGCCTTGTGTGCTCAGTGGTTCTGATATGGCTGTTCGCCAACTGGCAACCGACATTGGACAGTCCTTGGGCTGGAGCTGCAGCTTGGGCGGATAATTACCGGGGGCCAGAAAAAGGTTTTCACAATCCATTTACAGACTACGGAGTACATCATCCCACTCTTTTCGCTGAGGCTCAACTTCTGGTCATGCTGTGGGAATTGAGAATAAAAGACCCTGGGCAATCAATACCTTGGATAATAATGGTTGCACACTTACCTCAGCGAGAACTTACTTGCAAGATGCCAGCCGGATAGTTACAGTACCTCCAGCTATGCCGCCCACAGGTCGCGATGAGCTATCCGTTACAGTGTGAGAACAACAACAACCAACACGAAAAAAGAGAAAAGAAAAAGAAAAAACCAAAAGGAAAAGGAAAAACCGGAACTTCTAGCCTCACTATAACCTCACCAACCGCCGACCGGGCGCCTGGACCCTTAATCAAAGAGCTAACATACAAAGTTTAATATACGCAGCGTATAAACCCGCCGCCTCCAAGACTCCGACAGGGAACAAGTGGGAGACAACAATGGTGGCTGGGCTGGGATCAAAAATTTATAAATTGATAAAAAGCCCGCATTCATCGCCATCCCTGACACTCCGTGCAGCAATGGACATATTCAACGAACCAGTCAACGCCAGGAGCCTGCGACCTCCTCGGGGAGCCGGCGCGTGTCTCGTGATGCTTGCCAAGTCCCTGAGTCCTGACGGGGAGCTCGCTGAAGCGCTCGTTGGCGTTCAGCCCTAGCCCTCTCCATGTCTTTTTTTTTTTTTTTTTTTTTTTTTTTTTTTTTTTTTTTTTTCGCGTTCTCTTTTGATCCGTTTCCCACTCGCCCCGCTCTTGGACCGCGGTAGAGGCATTATTGTGATTGACCGGTCAACTTCAGCCTCAGATGACACCGGTAGGTAGCTGAACGATATGAATGGCGCAAGGAGCGCAACTCTCCGCCAATTGCCTGGGTACTGCACTTACGTACCGTACCACGGTGTAGTACCTAGATCGAGGAGATGCCGTTGTCCTTGAATTGTGTATCACGAGTTACATTATGTGTGTTTTCAATGTTACGACTATTATTTGGAATGGGATGGGTAGAATGCGAGGGCTGAAAACGAAGCCGCTTCCCGTGTCCAAGAGCATGATTCATGATAACCTACCCTACCTATCCCACGGATATTAGCTAGCAGTGTGCTTTTCTTCTTCGTTTCTCTAAAACCCACCTTTCTCCATGACCCACACCACACACTCCGCCCTCGAGGTCCAACGTCCACCCCAAGCCGTGTATCTGGGACAAGAGCGGCGACCATGCTCTAGGAGAAACAACCCCTAACCATGGACGTGCGGATACAGAACTAATTCCCTTCCATGGCTGTTCCGTTATTACTAGCTGCGTAGGTGCAACTCTACGACAGCCCGAGTCTTCATCCCATTCCTAAACAACCTTCTGCCGGGGGGGGGGGGGAACTTTAGGCACTGGAAGACCCGTGGCGGTCACAAAGTAACTACAGTACATACATTACGTACGATCGCACTAATACTTGCATACTCCTCGCTTTACTATGCGTACAACTGGCTATACTCCGTCCAAAGGACCAACTTGCGATAAGTTATGGAAGTTGAATAAATAATAGGATACCTACCTACTACTGTATGTATTTGTAAACGATAGCTGTCCCCTTTTGTGCTCCTCGGGTGTAACCTTTTTCTTTTTCTTTTTCTTCTTTTTCCCCCTCAGTTTTTCTGTTTCTAGCCGTTTGTAGATTACGAATTTGGGTTAACTCTGTGCTGTGTAGGTGAAAAATGTAAAATCTGAATGGGATGCTGTGTTTTTTCAATTCTCGGGAGGAGAGGGGGGGGGGGGGGGGGGTTTGTTCTGTCCCTGTCTGAAAATCATTCTTCTCTGATACGAAACAGTACCTCTGTTGACTGATGTTCATGCCATGCTGTGTTTTTGTAACTGATGGAGAAAAAGAGAGGCCGGGGAGGGGATATATTGAGATGTCACATCACCTGCACCTGGAAGCCACTCTCTTTCTTCCCAACTTCCCATTATCATCTTGTTGTGAGACAAAAACTGCCTTAGATCATGGCAGGGGAGCTTCAGGGTTGAGTTAGAGGTATGATCACTTGTTGTTCTATATCCGCATGAGGGTCAGGAGTTGTGGAGCTGGTTGGAACTCAGCAGGGCAGGGACCTAGATTTATATAGAGGAAATAGGGGAAAAGAGAGAAAGAAAAGGAAAGAAAGAAAGAAAGAGAAAAACCACCAACCGGGAAAAAATGAGGAGTATATATTTATTAACTGAAGAAAGGAAAAAAGGGTGCAGTGGTGAACTGACTGGCATCGCTATTATTATTATTTAATAAGTAGTGCTGTGTGTTAACGCTGTATGTGGCCCTCGGGATGAATCGGAGGAAATCTACCAGGCAGCAATGGCAAACTCAGGCAGCAAAACCCCAATCCACGGCCCGAGCACAAGGTATCTAGGGAAAGTAACTCCTCGGAGGGCACTTACTCGGACATACAAAAGGCTCCCTTTGACTCATAAAGCTCTCGTTAAATCTTCCTCTTTTTTTTTTCTTGTCACCCATTAGGCCTTACATACTCGTTGTCTTGGAAGTCTTGGATTTCTTGGAATGGTTCCGCTTCCCGCTCCGATTCCCGCCATTTGGCGCCCGTGGCCCTGGCCTTGGCGTCAACACCACTCGGCTGTCTTCCATCCCGGCTGACTAATAGGCGAACGGGCGTCGACAAAAGCCGCGCTCCTGGCCAATTACATGCCGCCAGAATCAAATCGCTCGCCCAATGAAGGGCTTTGACGGGCTTGAGGGATTTCTCTAAGGGCTGGGCCTCGCGGTCCCGTGACCTAAGTTTTTTTTTTTCGGATGTTGACGACATTGAAGGCGGGATTGGATTGGGGCTTGGTTGGGCGTGCTTACGAACGGGTTTGATATCGTTTTCTGTTCCAGACATCAGGATATCGTCTCCTTTCCCCGGTGAAGAAACCAACCGATGCGCCATTTGCGCAGGCCGGATGAGGCCACTGGTTGCTACGTGTGCTTTTGCGGCCAATCAATCCTTCGGCAATCGGGGGTTGGTTGGCCTTCCGTTTCATTTGCTATGGAGAGCCGATGGCTGAGAACTTTTGCCGTAGAGCAAAATGAGTATGCACTTCAGCTGCGTGGCTAACAATGTTATGACGGAGCTTACATAGAGAGCAATCATACGTTTCGTTGGATGGATTAGCTGGCAGGGATTAAACTTTCCATGACGGGAGCTTGAGAGCTACGTACCTAGGTACGGAGTCAAGATATCCACTCTGTCGTCAATCATTTTCTTTTTCATCTAACCTATGCTTTCGCACTCGGTTCTTTGCTCCACCTGGGTCAAGCGGGAGGAAATGGCATATGTATATAGGGCGGCCAATTCTCTCCTGTTCGGTCCATGTTTAATCTGGAAATGTATCATCCAACTAAGAATATACTTCAATAATATCATTCATTCCTTTCCCTACCACGCGTTAGACAAGAACCTCCTCCTCCCTTTCGTCCATTCTCCGTCTTGCTACCTCGATACCCATTTGCATCTAATCGCCTCAACCCGATATCCCAACCTCAAACACCTTCCTTATCAAAGTCCCACCAGATAAACCTAACACGACCAACATGACCGTCATCAGCGGCCGCACCATAACCCACATCGACGAGGCCTCCCTCGCCAACCTCAAATCCCGCCTCAGCTATGTCAAGGGCTTCCTCCACTTCACAGAGAAAGACGGCGCCTTCATCCAAGCCGCCAAGGAGATCATCGCCCCCGCCGTCCCCGCCGTCCTAGACGCAGTCTACACCCGCCTCCTCTCCTTCGACATCACCGCCAAGTCCTTCGTGCCCCGGCAGCCAGAGCAGGACACCAACGAACCAGCCGCGGCCGGCAGCGTCGCAGAGCTCGCGCTCGACCACCCAAACATCGTCCACCGCAAGGACTTCCTCAAAAACTACCTCATCCGCCTCGTCAGCAACAAGGACTGGTCCGACGAGAGCTCGTTCTGGGGTTACCTGGATAAAGTCGGCATCATGCACACGGGTCAGGCGGGCTTCAAGCATCGGGAGAAGCGGCCCAAGCTGCGCGTGGAGGTTATGCATATGTCGCTGCTGCTGGCGTTTGTGGAGGAGATGGTGCTGCAGGCTATTCTGGGCGCTGAGGGGGTGGATTTGCAGACGAAGACGGGGATGATTACGGCGTTTAATAAGTTGGTGTGGATTCAGAATGATCTATTCCAGAGACATTACGTTGCTAAAAAGCCGGAGTAGATTGGGGACATTTGGGATTCATGGTGTTTTTTTCTTTTCTGGTTAATTCCCCCCTTTTTGCTTCCTCTTCATTTGTTCTCCCCTTGGTACGTATTCCAGATAGATGGGTATAAAAGTACGGGATACGGGATAACGAGGATTCTGCTTGCTGCTGGCGTAAGATGGCGAAAAAAACGAAAGGGGAATGAATAAAAGATACAGGACACAGGGGATGCGGGATACAAAAACGTTCCCGGCTCCCAAATAGCGCATATATACATAATATACATATATACACAACTTGGATTAGATGATAGAAACGGCCCCACTCTATAGAGCTTACGAATATGAAGTCGGATCATTTTTATTGCTTTCCTGTCAATGCTTCCTTGGCTATATTTATGTATGTACATGTACATGTACGTAAATATGGGGTAGTGAGGATGGAGGGCTAATGAGTGAGGTAGCTAGCTACATTGACTCAATTCACCTATGTACCGACCGAGGAAAGGAATTCATAAATAGGATACATTCCTTCATCCACATGGATATATCGCGGATTTTTAAGAGGGTAGAGAGAACTTTAAAAAATCACAGGTCGTGTGTTAGATGGTTCCTATTATAGAAAGCGGCGATGGGATTAGCAAGGACCGAACATCTAGTTACGGGGGAAAACACACAAGCATCCATCCCACAAGGGCCTCTTTCACCCTTCAGCCCTATTCAATGGGCTGTGGCCAAAAAAAAAAAAAAAAAAAAAAAAAAAAAAAAAAAAAAAAAACCCAGCACAAAGGAAGGGTCATTGTCCACACAAAATAACAACACTCCAGACATTGCCAATTAGCTTAGGTGCATGTCTATCAACAGCAAGCAACATGACCCGTGCGTAGGTCTGGATGGCAGCCCGTATGTGCCGGGGTTATTACTACGGAAGCCCTTTGGTAGTTGGTATGTGAACAAAGGACTCGGGCGGATGATGAGTATGTTTGTATCTTCTCTATCTCACCCGCCTGGTGTTCGTTCAGAGATAGAGTTATTGCTTTCCACCCAATATTTCGTTGCGGGGGTGGGTGACAGTGCAGTCAGTAGATGGAGAGAAAGAGGTATTCCACAATTTTCTTCACGCCCGCGCCAGGATGCTATACGGAACGGGAGAAATCATCAATTGTCCTTAAAATAAATTGGTTCTCAAATAGAGGAAGGGGGTTTAACTCTCCTTTGTGCCAGCCCGTTGGCGCTGTCCGCAGGATTAAGGCAAAAAGGTCTGGCCGTGTGTTGTGTGTGTGTGTATGTGCATGGAGGAGGAATGAATATATGCGCGTAGCTGACATGTTAAAATGACAGTACAGATAATGGGAAGGAATTATTCGTAGTTTTTCGGCGTGAGGGGGGTCCGACATTCTCGGATTTATTTTGACGGCTTGCTTGGGATCCTTGGTTTTTATCAGTGGAGAGCGCATCTTTCAGGAGTCGTCACTAGAATATGGGGGCAGTAGTAGTATTTGGATATTTGGAGTCAGCGTTCAATACCCAGGACACTCAACGGTCCAATGGAAATTGCAAGTCAAAGAAGGAAAAATTCTTGCGGCCACACTCATTGTACAGGACGATTTTCTCACAAATGTAAATATGTAGTGTGAAGCAATATGAATTAGACGCATGGCATTTTCATTTCCCATTTGTCTATTATTGAAAAAAGAAAGAAAAAAAAAAAATTTCCCGCAAGAGCGAATGAAACAGAAGGATCAAAGAAAAATCCCTTAATTTTTGTCAACGCAAGTCCCTGGGCCCAAGAAACAATTTATCGGAGTCAGTCCGAAAACGGCAGAGCAAGATGGACGCCAGCAGCATTCGTTCAGCTTCGATGTTCGAGACTGAAAGCAAATGGAAGAAGGATAGAGAGAAAGCAAGAAACACTACTAAAAGGATCCCATTTCAGTAAGGAAAAACTGAATATGTTTCAAAAGTCTGAAAAGATATCAATGCGATACGAGCTGGGTAACTAATGGATGGCCGCAGGGCACGAGAGCAAAACCGCGCTGGCTGTCATTGGCACACGTTCATGCGCCAAATGCACCGACCGTACATGGTTGACGATGTTGTCTGAATATTTGACGTTGGGTGCTTCGAAGAAAGGCCTGACCTCTCAGTTCCTGGCTGAATCATGGAGTCATAGCCCTTCTTAATGCCTGAGAAAGCTAGCTACTCACTCTGCGATATTAGCGGTCGGTTTGCAAGAGGTCTTTGGCATGTTGGTGAACTGGCAAAACAAGAGACAAAGGGCGATCTATCAGCAATTGTCGCAGACATTATCATTGACCGCTTGAAGAAGAAGGGAAGAAAAGGAAGGGGTTTTTTGTTTTCAATAATCATCATATCTCCCAAGTGGGTAGTTATCTATCTCAAATCATCGGCTCGGAGATGAATGAAACATGTTGAAACTTTTGAGCCGTCCTGGCAGCCAATCTCAAGCAAGCATTCCCACAGTGGCGAGATGGATGATAGATAAGCAAAAAGCCCCACATATTGAGCAGGAGAAGTTCATGAAAAAGGGGAGAGTGGATATAAATAAGAGTGGGTGGGGGTAGCTCAACTCCCAGAAAGCTTGAAGAAAAAAGGGGGCCCTGGAGGATGGGGAAAGCAGCCGGTGGTGGACAAAATCCCCCGAAAAAGAACCAACGTGACAAATACGCCAGGCGGTTAATTCAAATCATTTTTTTTGTCCTTCAAGCCAACCATGACATGAGAAAGAAAGAATTTGCGCGAAAAGTGGCCCGAATTTATTCTGCTGATTCAATGGAGGGGAGCCAATCACGAAGGGATACCGAGTCAAGATCTTTGACTGCCGGATAAAGTGCAAGCGTTTCTGAAGAGGTAACTAGCGTTTTCGTTTTGGATGATGGCAACAAACTTTTGCGCCGGCTCGTTTCACTGTGGGCAATCGGCATCCATTATTGTCTGGGGAAAGGGAGGGAGGTCATTGCAGAAAGGACAAGAATTGAAGAATGAAATCGTGTTAGTGACACGGGATGGAAGAATGGATTCATAATCGTTTGCTCTTTCTTCTCATACGGAATACGGAGTACGGAGTACACAATGATGGATGGCCTTGAACTTCGACAATAATAATGCTGTGTATCCAGGATCTAGACTCAGCAGTATCAAATGCATCATTGCAATTGCATGGCAAGGCAAGGTTGAAGAGGAAAAGGGGACCAAGCTTCCAAGTTCGTCTTGCCGTGCCGTCGGATCACAGTTAGGCTGGCTTCTTCGACACGGGGAAGCTTCTAATATTAAATGGAAACCATTCCATCTACTCCGTACATCATTCAGGTCTCGACCAGCGGTTGAAGATGCAGCCGTGCGTGTGGCAAATATGCAATGTATATGTTTATTTATAGGTGTAATGTCGCATAGATGCAATATTATGCACCACACTATTAGTACGATCTGTCCTTGAGAACGCAAGGAGCAGCGGCAGCAGCAGCAGCAGCGAACGAGACATACTCTATCATACGCTGCGAACAGCTGTATGGATTGATAGATGCGCTCCCATGTTCTTTGATGATGGAGAGAAGAATGTAGCCATGTATCAACCAATACCTCTGCGTAATATATTACATAGAAACAGCACAAGGGAGAAGGGGGAAAAAAGTAATATTTTCAGACATTCCATAATCAGGCCAATAATAATTTCCTCTCCGCGGTCCACTGTCAGTCTGTCACCGGTCTGCCAGCCATCATTCCAGCCCCATTTCAAGAAGGAAGAGGCGTGATTGGATATTTTCTGCTCGCGGCAAGGAGGTGCGGGAGAGAGTGGTAAATTACTGTGGCGTTCCTGGGGAAGAAATAAAGTCCAAGAGATGGGGAGCTGGGAGCGAGCGGTAGGTAGAGCTTGAGCTCTCTTCTTAAAACAAACGTTACAGGACAAAATATCTATCAATGATAGAATAATATAATTGTTGGAGGATATAATAATAATGGGAATGAGGTCCTGACAATCAATAATGAAAAGCACAGCTGATTTGTGCATGCAGAGATATCAATATCTCTCCAATTGATTGATTCATTGCGCTGGATTGGATTGGATAGGGGCACGGCAGGCGGTTTTTTGCTGGTCTTGAGCCGGCTGTATTGTGGTATGGTATTGTATTGTATGGTATGGTATGGTATGGGCTGTACGTACGGATTGGGATAGTTTTAGCCCAGATCCAGTCCAGCAACAACAAGCCCCCTGTCACCGTCTCGGCGTCGTTCGTCGTCGTCGTCGTCGTCGTCGTCGTCTCGTTTGCAAACAATGCGCGCGTTCTTTTAGTTCCGAGCAGCGCAGACGTCGGACTGGGGGAACAGAGATTGATGGGCCACAAAGGCTCCACAAAGGGCCATGTTTAGTAGACAGATGATGACTGGCTGGAGCGAGATATTCTGATGTTCGCGGTTCAGCCACTGTTTCCGTCGTCGGGCATGATTGGCCTATTATTACAGAGGACTTCCCACAACGTGAAAACTCTCCACGCCAGGAGACGAGAGACGAGAGACAGGTGGAAGAAAAAAAAGCACCCGGCATCCTCTCATCTCTGATCCACCAATTAGCCTGAATAAGGCCACAAGATCGCGCTTCGAGGTGGTTGTTCGATGAAGCCAATCTTTGCTTACAGCGCTCTTGAGCAAAATAACCCTTGGGGACTGACTACCTACTCTACTGGGGGAAACATGGGCTTCGGTCGCTTCCGTCTGGACGACGTGATGACGCCTCGCCAGGAACCTGAGCAATAATACATACCTGTGGCGTGCCGCGTTGGTACCTGCAGAAGCGTAAGAACAGTAAAATAATCCTTCGGCGCTCAAGGCCCCGCTTGACGGTGGCATCTAGAGCCGTGGCTATATCCAACCAGGAACCGCAGAAGGCGATAAGTCCAGAGAGCCAACTAAATGAGCTGTGGGGCAGAAATGAAGGTCAGAAACAGAGTGGATCAACCAAGCACTGTTACCACGACGGACTGACTGGCTGAGAAGGCAGGGATCACGATACAGGAGGCCGCCCACCGGAGTAGTGTGGGCGCTGGAACTGGAGGGCGACGAGAGCGGGCTCTCCAAATAATAGACCAAAGCCACGCAACAACAGGCGAGATGCCAACACTGTGATGACCGCCAGACCAAATGAGGCCAGATGGGGGGGGGGGGTCAAAGGCAGAACAGCCGTCCAGTCAAGTGTCAAGCAGCACCGCGAGGTTGCATGGCCCGCTCAAAATTAGGGCAATCCCAACGGCCCACAAGATCGACTGTTTGCTGGCAGCGTGCCCCTTATCCCGCTTGTTTCTCTGTGCTGGCCAGGCTAGACAGGCTAGCAGCGCCTGGACAGTTGGGGCCCAGGCAATGTCTCGCTCAATCTCTCCCCTTTCCGGACTGGAGCGCAGCGATGATCTGCCAGGTTAATCTCCCACGTCCTACAAAAGTTGACGGCCGCCCACGTTGTTGTCCTTTTTTTCTCTTCTTCCTTTCCTTCTTCTTCTTCTTCTTCTTCTCTGTCATACTCAAGTCAATCTTCTTGCACCCTTCCTTGACGTATCTCGCTCTTTCGACTTCGGTCGCCCACGCTCTTTTTAATTTTTCCAACAACAGCTTACATTTACATTCTTTCTCCCTCCAAATAATTTTCACGACCTTTTAACTCGTGCAATTATTAATTAATTCCACATCACCGTCAACATGCGTTTCACAGCTGCTTCCGTCGCCCTCTTCGCTGGCACCGCTCTTGCCATCCCCGGCTACCAGAATGGCTATCCGGTCGATCCTCAGCCCAGCACTGTCTACTCCACCAAGGATGTGACCATCACCAGCTGCCCACCAGGTGGCTACGACTGCCCAGGCACCGTTCACCCTGAGCCAACTGGTGGCTACCCAGTTCCTTCGGATGTTGATCCCGAACCCACTGGATACCCATCTGAGACTCCTGTCTACCCAACCGGTGTAGATCCCACTGGCGGCGAGTCCAGCGTCTACCCCACTGAGCCCGAGCCAACTGGGTACCCATCTGAGACCCCAAGCGCCTCTCCAACTGATGAGCCCCCGACTGGCTATCCCACCGATGGCGAATCGAGCGTTTACCCAACTGGCGAGCCAACTGACGTCTATCCCACTGACGGCGAGTCCAGCGTCTACCCAACCGGTCCTCAGCCAACCACCTCCACCATCACCTACACCACCTGCATCCCAACGGTGACCTCTTCCATCACTGTCATCTACCCAACTGAGCCTGCCCCAACTGAGCCCGTCCCCACCTACCCAAGTGGCTCTGACGGCCTTCCTCACCCAACCGGCGGCTACCCAACGTAAGTGCATTGATCCCAAGTAGTTTATGTTAAAATTCAATTGATTCTAACATCTTTTCTAGCAACCCAACTCCTCCCCCTTATGATGAGGGTGCTGCCAGCTCCGTTGGCGTCAACTTCGCCGTCGCCGGTATTGCTGCCGTCGCCGCTCTCTTCCTTGCATAGATTTTCTTTCAATGATGATACCCACGATCCGCTCTAGTTTCTTTGGCTAGTTTGCAGGCCTCTCGGCATGGACCCCTAGTGGGCTCTCTAGGAGGTTGTTGTGGCTAACGTGGAGAAGCTAGAGCTCTGTTCTGGGCTTTTTGTTTTTTAATTTTCACACTTGGGGTAATCAAATGGCAGAAAGTTCATCGTTACTTAATATTTTTCTCTCTCTTAGTCGTTTCCCTTAGCTGCAAAAGCGAGTCTTTTCCTTTTAACTTCATGTGCTATATATCTATTCACCATTTGCTTCATGATGACCGACACGAACGCAACATTTTGGGGCATGGGGTTCGGTTTTCAAACAGCAAGCCAGAGCTTTTGTTTTCTGCCCTCAAATATATATCTAGTATATGAAAGAGTGGGAAACAAGAATTCTTGGGAAGCATATAATAATTCTCTGGCTACTCTTTATTTGATGGTATATTTTCAGCACCTTTTTGAGACTTTCGGTTTCTGCTCCCCTTTTCTGTTTTCGTTCTCTTGATTTGGGACCTGTTCACGAACCAAACTGAATACCATCGCATCGATTTTTTCCTTTTCACGTTTCTTTCCTCAAATCTTGTTCCAATCCTCCAGGAGAGAAACTCTGTCGATACAAATTTTTGTAGCCAGCCTATTTTTGTCCTTTTATCTTGTTATATGCCACATCCCGGGAAGGAATCCTTGGGCTAGAGGGGGAAAAGAGAGAAAACCAATAACGTGAGCTTTTCTTGCCGAATTTTGCGTGTTCCCATTTCGCCTTTTTCCTTGATGTTATTTGATTTCTTTTTATTTCATATTTATACCCGAGATCCCATATTTCCGCGTTGATCCGTCGCCGTCTTTGCTCGTGTCCAATCAAATTTCCTTAATTATATATCGCTCTTGTCTTTGTTCATTATTTCTCAACCATGCGTGTACATGTACATGTACATCCCTCCATTCCTCCGGAAAAGGCCAGTCGTAATATCTAATAAGTTGCTGTTGATCTCTCATCTCATCGACATCAATCGTAAATAATACCCTGTCTCCCGCGATGAAACAAAACATCCCCCCCCTGGATCAAATTTTCCCCTCAACCTCATCCATGTCAACTTAGCCAATGGGATCGCCAGTGACGGTTTTCTCCCCCTGGTGTTCCGATGTTACCCAATACTGGCACCTCAATTTGCCATACTATGTAGTGCCAGCTTGCTCTCTACTCTTTGTCGCTTTACCTCGGAAAGAAATGGGCGGAGTATGTAGAAACGAGAGAAGTTACATGGCTTTTTGATCTTGATTTTATTTTATTTATTATTTATCTATTTATTTATTCGACATGGGAAAATACCTTAATTTTACTCTGTTTCTGTTCAATTAGTTATTATTCCATTTCTCCATGTTTTCCTTTCTTCTGACCGACCGTAAGACCCACCCGTATATCGTCCGTATCCTTTCCATTGATATCCATGTCCTTGATTACTATTTACTTGCAGCAAGAACATACTAGAAAGTAAGCACTTAAACATCATCAGCTACAGCGTATGTAACTAGTTTGTGTTGGGGGTCCCGCGGTTGGTCGGCCCTTCTACCAGCAGGCGCTGGTGGTGATCGAGCTCTTTTGCCCCAGTAGCCTACAGGTTATGAGACCGTTGAGCGTGAGCCCCGCTGTGGTCAACATGCATGGGTTCGATCCCAGAATGGACTTAAAAATTCCTAACAAATACCCTGGACATTTTAACAGTGCCAAGAGACATCCTAGGAGTGTGCCCTAGGAGTGAGCCCTTGAAAGAATGAGCCCTAGGAGTGAGTTCACTGAGAGGAGCCACTAAGAGGAGCCACTGAGAGGAGCCACTGAGAGGAAGTACTGTACTCTGTGGTAGCTGGTCCGAGGGGGGGTGTTGGGGGTCCCGCGGTTGGTCGGCCCTTCTACCAGCAGGCGCTGGTGGTGATCGAGCTCTTTTGCCCCAGTAGCCTACAGTTTGAGCAAGCAAACCTAACCACCATTACCCTGGAAGAAGTTGATCAAAACCGAATTTCTTCTGCACCAGCACATGTCTCATTTTTGGATGATAGATTTAGTCACAGTGAAGTGGACATGTATGTCATATTCCACCTGCAGCTTTTAACGATTGTCATTGTTAAATGTCAGAACTTTGCTTACATTCAGTCATTCCTCTCTGATTGGTTCCATACCACCACTGGTTGGTAGTGAAGAGGAAGATCCATGTATTGTAGAATCGTCAATAGACTAAGAAGAGTGAGTATATTAGCAGAGTGAGCATCACTATATGCCTAATTCTATCTGAGATCTGAGATCTGAGATCTGAGAGCTACTCCGGATCAAATTTCATGTCGTACATAAGGTCTGCAATGGTCTAGATAGATGGCTCAAGTTCTTCACTGGCTAGTTAGTAGTCTTCATTGTTTAATTTTATTGTATGTATATGTATGTTTGTATGTATATGTGGTCAGAAAGAAGGCCCCCATACATATACATACTGAGTTATATGCTGTGGTTTGCATGGTAATTCCAACCTGCCAGAGAATCCCTGAAAGGCCTGTCTTTTAAACAAAGGAGATGAAGAGTGAGCGGAGCAACAAAGATGAAAGAGATCAATCGAACAGGTTAAAAAGAGCAACAAAAATCGGCATCCATTTTCAGCTTATTTGAAGCAGGGAGGCAAAACGCTGCCAGCACGCCCAAACCATGGTAATGATAAGCTCTCCGAAAACATTTAATGCCCAGCTGAGACCACGACGGCCAGCGGGTGATATTACCATCTGCGGATAGGGGAAGAGGGTTGAAAGCCTAAAGATTTCGCGCGGGGATTTCGACTTTGTGAGCTGATTGCCGGTGATTGGGTCCTAGACGGGGCCTAATTTTGGTAGTCGATGTCAGCGGGAGCGGGTTAAATATAGGCTTGTGATAGTCCAGCGGGGATCCTTGTTCCGCTCCCTATCATATGTAGTTATGGCTGACCACTTTGCCGCTGGGCTTCTTTTCAAGACAGAGAAGAAGCTACGCCGGCGCCGGTCTATTCCCTATATCAACTTTGCTTAATTGAGGGAATATTGACGGGTAATAGGAAGAAGTTGACATACGTATGGTTTGGCCCCCTAACTACCAGAAAAAGAAAAGACTAATGGTGATTGGGCTCTTTTGTCCCTGTCCTACCGGAGAAGAAGAAGAAGAAGAAGAAGAAGAAGAAGACGCGTCGAACATACCAGCTCGGACCTGCACGTCTATCTGTGAACCGGGACGGATGAAAGCAGACCTGCGCGAGATTTTCTGCGTCAAAACAAGAAATAACACCACTGAAACCAGAATGATAATGCTTAGTTGAAGCCGCCGGATATGATGACCCTATTGCGCTCTGCTTTCGCAACGGTTTCGGGCGATATTTTACGCTGGAATCATAATAAGCAGCCCCATTCTGCGCTTACTATGCGTACTGTGGTGCTTCCCTAGCCTCTTCTCTCACCATCCAGATCCCACATTGTTTGCTGACAACTGTTTGCAGAATCGATCTATTTTTGTTGCTGCGGCTGTTGACTGCCATGCCGCTATTGCCCATCTGATCCTTTAATCATGACACCAACGATTCAGGAGACGTTATTATTTCCTGCGATGTGAGGTTGTCCTTGGCCCTTTATGACTGGAACGTTGGACAATCCGCCAGAAACGGTTGTTTTCCGGAACACAAACCCACATTCCCCTTTTTTTTGCTCCTCCTGTCCCTGTGTCTGGCTGTCAATCTTCTTCAGAACCATCGTATTCATCTCACTAGGGGAATAACGTCGACCGTATCCGTTATTTGGCTGCGAGATCAACTCCCGTTTTCCCCGCTTGCTTTTTGAAGTTGAGGGGATCATGGCGAAGCAGCGAAACACAGCCATGACAGCGGCAAGTGGAATTAGCGGAGCGAGCCTCAATGCTATGATCGCAACGCCTCCCGAGCTAAATAGTTCCTTACTCATGGGGGCTTTTCAAAATAATAAAAATTATGCTAGCATGGATGATCTTTTGTGCTTTCTGTGGATTTTCTATTGGGGCAAAGGCGGGCCAGGGTCCTTGGGCATCATCGTCCGCGATTCGTCCCCGCCTGTCTTTATAAGTCAATCGCTCCCACCCCTGAGGGATATCATTATCGGCTGCTATTATGATATGATGGATCTTGCACTTCTCTCCAACATATCTTGATATAGACTGACACTTGCGACACACATTCATCTTGCTCTCTCCTTGCTGGCTTCGGATACTTCGCTTTATCTTTCACCTTCGCACCTTTCATATATACACACAATCCGTACATCTATCTACCTAACGATAAGATGGCTACATCACTCGATCAAAGACTACCGTTCACATACGACCTAGGTAACCAGTATCAAAATATAAGAGGCAGTTCGCAACCTCCAAGCCGACATACCAACATGGCGAACGTACCAAGGATAGAGTTATATTCACCACAGGAATCCGTACCTCGGTGCTATGCAACGGTTTCACCATCCGCAATCAGACAACCGCTCGATGCTCCTGTCTCCATCTTCTCATCCGACTATGAGAAAACGATCAAGAAATCCAAATCAGACACCGGCATGCGGAAAAGCTTCTGGTCGAAGCTGAAGAGAAACAAGAGTGGAAATCATCGCCATTCCGACATGCTCACAGCTTACACTAGATCGGATCCCCGACAGGCTAGGGCGAGCGGAAAACTCATCTGGTCAAGCGAGCATCATATATGGATGTTCCCGGACCCCGACACCAGCGGCGACGAGCAGCACAGTGCCCCATGGCAGTTGTGGCCGACTCGGGAGAATGGACGCAGACCTAGATCTACCATGACGACCCGACTCGCGAACGACAGTGACGAACTCCTCTTTGCGCAAATACCTGGCCATTACACCCTCAGCCCATACGACTCTGTCAACAACGACGACCTTCTTCCAACTTATACGGCCGGCAGAAACTTTGGTGATGTGGCTACCCGAACGGGAACAGAAAGCCAGTGGACACTCGTGGCGACGAGGGTCAGTGGATCTACTTCGGTGCGCTGAATGCTATTAAAGAAAAAAAGAGTGATATCTCAATATATGCTTCGGCTTTTTCCTCCCTTCCTCAAGTGAAAAGTTTCAATCTTATATCTATCGCTGGAGCCCGGTTCAAGGATTCTTTTCCAACTTTTTCTTCTGCCCTTTGATGAGTACCTATCTCCTTTCTCGATGACGAGCTATGACCCTTGCTATATCGGACTCGATGTCTTTCGTTGATTGGGCTTTGGCAAGGTCGTCAGTTGCAGTTGCTGGGCTAGATTGCGCATTTATTACCATCGTTATATTTCCAAATTTCCACGCCTACTTTTTGGACTATGAAGAATGGCCATTGGCATGGATTCCTAAATCGTTATTGCATCTGGAATCTGTTGAGCCTCCCTCTCGTTTTAATCCGTTTAGATACCCATACACATTTCTGTTCCTATCCCGTTCAATAATATACATTAGTTTTGGTTGCATAGATACTGGTGGGCATGGCGTTTTGACTTTTTTGATATGGATTTTACAATTCTTTTAGCTCCATTTTCAGTAAATGCTAGATTTATTTTTATTTCATTATCTTATAGAAATTATTATATTTCTTCTCATCATCTTGCTCTCATCACTTTCTTCTCCACTCCCTCCCTTAAATTTACAGTTTACCCATCGATTGACAGGGCAGTGCGTTGCAGCCAAGCGCGTGTTAATCGGATAGGTGTGGGGAGAACTTTTGCCCCTCTTCGTATTGCTGCTAGAGCGAACACGGGCAGAAAAATGTACCCTTCTGGTCCCTAGGGCAGTGAGAACACGAACTTGCAATTGGAACACCAAGCTTTCATTGGCTAACATAAGAGCGATCTGAGCTAGGCGCGGGAAACTTTAGGTACATACGTTACAATCTACAGATCGTACCCTGCCGAAGGCAAAGCTCAAGCCCCAAGGTACATGTATGTATGTAAAATCCTTCCTTGGACCAAAAGCTCAACAACCTCCTTTCCACGGAGCCATCATCCGTAGTTAACGCTGGCGCATGGGTTTGTTGTCGTTCTCATTAATTTTCTTTGGGCTTGGCAGCATGATCATGCTTGAACACGAGCTTCCACAACTGCACAATTTGCGCCAAGCAAGCCAATATGGTTTTTAACAAAATAAATTCTCCGCCCGGAAAACTCCTGTTCGCCCGATCTCGTTTCTTCTCATGTCTCTTTCAGATGGTTTCAAACCACGGAGACCCGCTCGAAGCTCATACTGTACCCACGCGGCGAAGCATCGATCCAGTTCCCGGAGATTTCGTAGATGGACATTTCCTCGTATATAATTTCTCTGGAAGCAGCTAGAAGAGATTGGACAGAGTGATCTTGTTTCGAGAGCTGGGTTGCATTAGATGTTCGCACTGGGATGCGTACAGCGCAGCGAGAAAAATCAGAACTAGTTTCTGTCCTTGCACTTGTACGCGGGAATTCATTGGTTGAAATACACACTGGCAACTGACACACGACCAGCATAACTATCAATGATTCTAGAAATTGGTCAAAATTTCACAGGGGTCGTGACAAGATATATAATGAGGACGCCTTCGGTTGCAATCCGTGCTGCTTCTGGTCACATACACCGTTTCAGTCCTCAATGCAGAACGCGGGGAAGAGTTCAAGTCGGGCACTGCGGTGCGGCGTGCAAACGAGAATTAGGGAGCAAGCAAACAGCGGTGGATTGACAATATCCTGGCATTTTATGAGCACATGAGCAGACCAGCGCTTTTCCTTGAAATCCTTTTCCAAAATTGGAAATGTGCAGATGTGACCAGTCCAACTGCTTTGCAGAAGCGAACAATTCCATGACAGTATGCCGAAGTCGTAGACGAGTCTCAGCAAATCGCCATCCCATTTTTCATCTTTATGAATAACTTAAACAGAGGGCGCTGCATTGGAAGAAACGTTGCGTATTTGTTGAACATATAACATATGGAGTGGCTGGAGCTGGAGGGCGTTTCAGGTCTCTTTTGGGCTGTAAGCGTGTGAAGGGGCTTGCTTTATCATGTCACTGGAGAGGAAAGTCGATAAAAAGCGACTGGAGAAGTTGAATCACCGGATTTCGTCGTGCCTGAGCTCTAAGCGTCTGTTTCGTCGACTTGATCGCCGCCATGATTGTCATCGGGGGCTTGTTGGAGCAGAGATCGAACTGATCAGCGTACTCCGTACTGCTTCCTCGATGATCCCCGCCAGCTACCCGTGATGATCAGTTCTCCACATCCATTCTGCAAAAAAAATCCCTCTTTTCTGAAGCCTTTGGGTTGAATCGAGCATGATCTGCGCTTGCTCAGAGTTCTTCCGTAGTTTCCCAGCGCCCATCGCAGGCTTGGTTTGTTTCATCCGGATCTCCTGCAAAGCCATCCATTACCCCTTTCAATACGAAAGAGATTGACGCTGAGCCCTCCAGCGTGAACTGATGACTTAGTAAAACCAAATATCGTATGGAGTGGACCGTCCCTCGTACATGTACACATCACTTTCAGGTCCATGTTGCGACTATCGAAGTCAGGTTCGGGTCAACGTCTAATGGCTCGTAAGTTCTCCCATACCGGCAATGTGTGAGATGATGGCGCCATCGACAAAACAGCAGCTCACGAGTCACATCTTCTCGTGAAATCACACAGATGCTATCATGAAGCTGTGATTTTGATAAAACACGTCAGCCCAGCCCAGTTCCAGGTGCAGGCCGAGAACCTTAGCCGAAGTTGGGATTCTTGGCTTGTTGTGGCAGGGTGGCTGGCTATGCCACTGCGTCCAAATCCTTGTTGGCCATATTTTCCGCAGCACAGGGCAGCGGGATTTAGTAATGACAGAATTGTGAAGTGAAGCATTGAATCATGGCTGGGTGGGTTTTTCTCTCTTAGCTTGAAAGCTAGAGAAGAAGTGACGCGGGTTGCAGTTCAATGACATAATCCAGCAAAATATTTCGCCCGTTGCTGAGGCTGCGTCCGCTGGATTACTGCTTCCAGTGGCTCCTTTTAGGTAGGTATTTCATGAAAAAGCAAAACAAAGCGATCGATCGATCGATCATCGGTCTGAAGTCTGCTTCACTTTCAATGCCTCTGTTTTCCCCGTCTTTCATGTGAGAGTTTAGGCGACATGACACAAAAATGCCTGATACATGTTGAAGTTGAGCCACCACCTGGGTACGACCTAGGGACTGGATGGAGGAGATATTGCTGAAATCTTGCCAGTACGCCTATACACTCAGTTAACACGTTTCTCCGCGCTTGGATTTTGTCGATTCCGTGGAACGGTCGCGGAGTCCAGTGATGCTCGCTTTTCTGTCCTGGGCCAATTTCGGTCCCTATTTAATCCCTTTGTCAGATGAATGAGGATATCTGCGGTGACTCACTTGGATGGGGCAGACTATGACAGTGGACTGGAGCGTTTGCTATTTTACGCCATACGTTGTCTGGTAGAAGTCTCTGAAAAGCATCACCAGCGGACAGAGTATTGCGCTACTTGGGAGGAAGTTCGAAGGTTCTTGAATTCAGACTTACCTCTCGAGTATACTCCAGGGAGGCCTTCGCTCCAATAGCGAAGATACTGTGGATTGAGTACCGGACCCATCCATACCAAGGCGACCATGAATGGCAATGGATGTGATAGACGCGTTCACTGCATAGGATGTATTTTCGTGCATGTAGTACTCTTATCCAGGCTCAACCAACAAGAAATAGGGGGTAACCATCCATATCTGCTTCGGGAGGGAGACAGATCTTTCCAAGACCCTTCCTGCAGTCACTTTATTTTACATCACGGATCTTACCATCACGTTGATTCCCGACATATTGTCAATTTCAAAAGGTCGTGGTGGTAGGCATGGTGGAATATACCACGTATTTCAGATCCGCGAAACTATTTCACAGATGATATCAACAGAGGAAGCAAGCTATTTCGGATTTAGGACCTGTCATCATCACTCTAGTGAGTAGCTACGTCCTAGAGACAACCCCGTGCGCATCCATTGGCTGCGGCGACAATTGCCATAGGAATGTAAAGGATCTGACCGGGCCATTGCTTCTGAGCGGATTCCTATAGCTGTTCCTTCTCTGGAGATGCCAATTTGGCTAACCATGAAATCTCGGAAGCGGCTTCTAGGAGAAAGTGTGTAGGAGGATCCAAATCTTGGAACTATCCCATTGTTCAATTTCCTGAGTGATGCAAGCATCCTATCACTTCCTCCAGCTGTCAATAAGAGAAACGGATGCCAGCCAGAGTCCTTGATAGTATGCCAGCAAAGCAACATGGGTACTGTCTATATGTTCAATGTCTCCCATGCTGAAGACAAGATTCAGTTGCAGAAGGGTTTTGAGGTAGGAGCTTGCTTGGATGTTCTCACACATATTGTTGCCTTACGTAGTAGAGCTTTACTATTCTGCTGAGGGTCACAAATTCATACATGTAGGTTTGGAAGGCTTGTCAAAATTTGAGAAGAACAAATAATCATCATTGCTATAGCAAGGCTAATACTCATATTTTGATTGGGCAGTCATGGAGAATAAATCTCCATAGCTGGTGGAAGGCTTTCACAGTATAAAAAGTTGACCAACAGTAATAATACAAATAGTTACAATGTCATGTATTTGATATTATTTTTCTATTTTGTTGAGTGACATTGGCAGCCAGTGGTGTTCTAGCATGATGCTAAATATCAATTATGTCCCGCCGATTCCATGAAAGCGATAACACAGAGCCCACACACGGTAGTATAAGGAGTTGCATTGTGTTATAGGGTGTTGTAGGTGAAGAAACGCCAACCCCTTTACCAAACTTCTCTCAAACTTCTTTCTGGCCCTGCCTCTCTCCCCAATACATCCAAGCTTCTGGTTTGGAACACCATTGGGCCTTACACCCTGTTCTTTCAACCCTCGTTCACAAATCGAACAGCGACACACCGTATTGCTCCGATTTCACTTCCCTTCTCCTCAGCCCGCCGGTTGCGTGGTTCTGACATCGAAAATGGCAGATCCACCGGGAACTCCACGTCCTGACGCCAGTGGCTCTGCTCACGCTGGACTTCTTCTCGATGTTAAGCTGGAGAAGTTAACCTATATAATCCATTTCTGATGGCAGATAATGTTTTTTATGGCAAACTATCTCCAGTAGGTAACCAAACGGTGAAGCAGTTTCGGAAAGTGCTGATTTATTTATTTCTCCAGGGAATTACACAGCAGCAAGCTGACTCTCCAGAAGACAACTCAGTCGAAGGGGAGACAGGCGGAGTGGATATAAAGTTAGAAGGACTTGATCCATATCCACCGCTCATACGACCCCGCTACATGCATCGAGATTCTAGCATTGAAAACCTTGAAAGTGGGGTGGCGGAAGGGCTTCAATTTCTGGGTCCATTGAAATCCCTACTTCAGAAATACTCCCGCCAACCATCAGAAAATAGATGGCTGAAGCAGATCGAGGAGCTTGAAAAGAGAGCTGTGTCCGCTCGAGTCATTATCGGCGTTGTCGGAACTACAGGGGCAGGTAAATCGTCGTTAATCAACGCAATTTTGGATGAGGAGCGTTTGGTCCCGACAAATAGTATGCGTGCCTGTATAGCCGTCGTGACTGAGATATCTTTCAACCATTCACCAAACCGTTACAGAGCAGAGATCGAGTTTATTTCCTTGGCAGAGTGGGAAGAAGAATTAAATTTAATTTTCGGCGATATTAAACTCGAGAATCAACAAACCAGAGATAATTCCGATTCTGCAATTGCTTGTGCGAAAGCGACTGCCGTATACCCTGACATCCCGGACATTCTTAAGTCGTCGATCAAAGAGCTTTTGGTCCACGAAAATGTGTCAAATCTTCTAGGGAAAACGGTTGAATTCGCCGAGGATGATCCGGTTTTATTCTACACCAAACTTCAAAAGTATGTGGACAGCAAAACCCAAACCCGACGCAAAGGTATGAACGGCAAAAGCAAAGCCAATGACCGAAAGGACATGAAATTTTGGCCTTTGATACGCGTAGTTCGCTTGTACGTCAAGGCCCCTGTTCTTGCGACCGGAGCTGTTATTGTGGATTTGCCTGGTACGCAGGACGCTAATGCAGCAAGAGCTGCAGTTGCGTCACGATACATCGAACGCTGCTCATCTCTTTGGATCGTGGCTCCCATAACTCGAGCAGTAGATGATAAAACGGCCAAGACCCTTCTCTCAATGAATTTCCAAAGACAGATCCCAAATGGACGGCGCTCTTCATTTGTTCGAAAACGGATGATATTAACTTATCAGAAATTGTTGTTGATTTTGACGACATAGTCGATGAGCCGTTTTCGACTCCGGATATTCCTGAAATCTCCATTACACGCCTAGAAGAGCAACTCAGAGCCCTGAAAGAGGAGCGCACGGAACTTGTTATATCAATCGATGAGCTTTGCGAAGAAATGGCTACTCTGGGATGCGATTTCGATTTACTGAAGAGCACTGATGGTTCTCCGAAAAGAAGTAGGGTGACCGACTTTAACCCTCTACCCTTAAAACAGGAGTTCGGAAGATATCGAGAAAACCACAATAATGAATATGGCCTAGACTATAGCAACACGGAAATAAATGTTAGATAGACGGAAGATTCGGTAGAAAAGAGGTGGTGTGATGTGTCAAATAAACGAAAGCGCCTATCTCATCGAAAAAAACAAATCGACTCTGAGATAGAACGAATGACCGAGGCACTGAATATTGCTCGGGAAAACGAGCAAAGGAAACAAGATATCCTCGGTCTGAGGTGTATTCTGGAAAGAAACGATACTGTGAAGGCCCAGATTCGATAAGATTTTGTCGATGGGGTTCGGCAATTGGACGAGGCAGATGCGGAAGAGGAGAGTTTTGATCCTAGTGTTGACCTCAGGGATTATGATCAGGTTGCTAGAGCTCTTCCAGTCTTTTGTGTGTCCTCCAAAGCGTATCAAAAGTTGAAGGGCAGACTTCGTCGTGACCATGCCGTTAAGGCATTCTGCAACCCCGAAGACACTGAGATACCAGATCTCCAAGCTCATTGTCTGAGCTTGACGATCGCCCAACGCACATCTGGCTGCGAGTCATTCCTCAATGGGCTATAGCAGCTCATGAACTCCTTGGATTTGCTAAAGTTCCGCTAGGGGTCCTTCAGATTCCCTATGCGAGGAGCGCCAAAGAAATGACCCTCTTTTCTTGCAAAATGGACTGGATATCCTCCAACAAGTATGTACTGAGCCAAGGTCCACCACAATGGTTTTGTTGCGTTGTTTCTATTTGCTCACTCGTAAATTCAGGGCCTAGAGAATTTAACTGGAGAAGTTTTGGCAGAAATTACTAGTGCCGTCGAGGATAACATTTTTGATAAATTTGGTGCGTCTCCCCGGCTCCCGCCTTTTAGAAATGCTATTCCAGTAGTTCGGCGCTCACATTTCATAGGTTTAGCTTCATCATAGGCTTGCAACGAAGCTGGCAAAGCCCTTGCGCAATGGAACCGCTCGCGCAAGGTCTCTCCAGAGGGTCTTGCTTGGAATACTTATAAAGCGATTTGCAGACGCCAAGGGGTTTACAAACACCATGTGAGTCTCGATCAGCTGAGATATTTTCCTTTTCTTTCTTCTATGAAAGGATATTAATAATATAATAATAGGACTGGAATAGCACCTTGTAAGGCCTTATGGCTCCTATATAAGAAGCATATTATGTCTGACAACTTTAGGATCCGACCTATGATGCCAGTTCTTGCGGTTGGTTGGGAACGGTAAGAAACGTCTGTGCGGCTTACGCTACTAAAATGGAAAAAAATCCACAGTTCCTTCTCACGCCTAATCCCCAAAATTTTAACCCGATATTCCAAAACAACATATGGCTATGTGAAAGCCTTGTATGCGAGCCTCGAACCTCGTATCTCCGCTGGGGCAGTGGGTTCGAAAATAGCAGAGAAGCTGAAGGTTCAACTCCCAACCTATCGGGCTTCATTCAAGGAGCTATCCGCCGCGAGTAGCAAAATTTTATGCGAAAGCCACAAGGCCGCAAACCGTGCTTTCGTTCCGATAATTGCTGCTGAGTTGGGAGAAGCCTATGAAGGCTGTGGATCTGCAATGGGTAAGTAACTATCTTGAACAGTTTTTGTAGGGCGAGGGGTTTACCTACGCATGAAAGATATCATGACTCAACATGTGGAAAAACGCAGACACGAAATGTTTCACAAAAGCACAGAACACGTCAAGTCCGAACTCGAAGGCAGTATCCAGTCCGTTAGGGATTATTTGGCCATGGAAACCGAAAAACTCTTCCAGAAGATTAGCTGGGACTACAAAAATGCATTTGAGAAATCGCAGACTGCTGAGGAGAAGACGCTGAACAAAGAACTCAGGAAGCTTCTCCAAATGTGAATACGATGTTTAACGTGCCAGCAGCATCCAATTCATAAACAGTGATACCTAAAAGGTACCAAGTGATACACCAACTATCATTGGGATCAAGGATGAAATGGGTGGGAATTTCAGATGAGCGTTGTGTTGTTCCTTCTAGGATCGTATACGCGAAATTTTTTGAGGGTATTATCATCCTTGAACTCCATCCAGAGCTGCCATTCTCCAACAGAGAGAGTCGGTGTGCTCTTTTATCATTCGGCTCGTGGGGCGAACATCGATTATCGAATCGTCTCCATTTTGGAAGTTCGGTTCATATTGGGTCTCTGTAGCCCTTTCAATATCTCGCTTGGAAAATTTTCAGCAGTTATTTTGTTTTGTTCCAATAGAAATTGCCTAAACCACGTTTATGCTAAGGGCTACGGTGCTGTTTTCTAGCGATACCTGCACACCTTGATCCAGCCTTGCAACGGCCTTGGAAGCACATCCCATCAGAATATTTTTTAACTTACGGATTGCACCGGTATTCTAGTAATAGAGAGATACTTTTTCTTTCTTGTCCATTTTCTTTTCCCCCCAACACCTGTCATGCTTAATTGCATAGTCAACTCTGTTAGCTTCGCGAATGTGCAAACATTTCCTGTCACAACTGCTATTCATGGAATTGCTCGCTATTTCAGTTTGACTTGCCATCCTACCATTCTAGATGATCCTACAATTATCACTTCCTTGTCAAAATAAAGCTGTCTTGTGACTCTAAATCTAGGAGAATACCCGTCATGCAAGTGAGGCATTTTTGGATGATTTTGCTTCCGCTTTCCCGTTTACTTCCTTCTCTTTGTTTCGGTCCCTAACTCATCACTATGACTTGGTATTCCCATGTTCTTTGTCAGTCTTGTAGTGTTCATCAAACAGTTTCTCAAATGTTTTCTTCTGATATGTAGCTGAAAGAAATTCTCAGTGTTTTACTGTTCTATCATGCATTCAGTTCAACAGATATTCATTGAATACGATGTGGCCACCGCAACCAACTTTACATGTTTTTTTCCCCATTAAGTCATACCAACCTACATATCTAGGTCTATACCACAAACTAGGGATGGATTTATATTTTTAGATAGTAACTTGAACTCTCTAGCAGGTATGTGTCTCTCTACACACCCTATCAAACCTAGTTGGAGGTCCATCCAAACATTTAGCTAGGTGGTAGATACAGTACTTATACTGTCTTTTCTACCTCCAAATTGGAGAGAATATCCACTCCAGCAAACGACTTCTACGTGGCTAGTTGATCATAGTTTCATAATTCTCTTTAATTTAAATCTGCCAAATATCCCATCCCTTTTTGATATATTTTCTTGTATCCTCTTGTTCCTGAGCACGATGCTCTCATGATTGGTGGATATCCAAACAAACGAAGCAAGCAACAATCCCTGGTTAGGGCCATGGAACTGAATAACTTTATCCGCAAATACTGAGCTAAGGACATAAATGGTCGATAATATTTTTAGATCATTTTCTAGAGTTGCTTCTAATTGCTCATCTAGACACCTATCAACGAACCGTTAGCCAATACGTAGGATTGACCATTCTCTGCCCAACAACTAATGCTTGCATCTTAGTCCAGTGATGACTTGCAGACGCACGGACCGCGCCGGGTCAAGACTTTCCCAGGCGCTTAAATTTCTTCAGGTTGGGCTATTTATAGAATTCCCCGCTGTCAAAGGAGCCGGTTTGTCTGCGGGGCGAGCTTGCCGTGGGTTGGCTGTTACGGCACCTACAGTACTATGTAGATAAGCCTGCAGCGGCTAGGAGAAAGCTCCATTGCTTGGCCCAAGGACGTAGTTAGGTTGAGAATCTTGTGCCTCTTGCTTTGGCGTTGGGGGAATTAAATGCGCGCCCCATTCTTTATTATTCATGGGTGTTAGTATTTTGCGCGAAGCAGGATAATCGAGCCAACAATATATTAATTGAATGGATGGATATAACATAGTGTGGTTGATGGTACTAGTTATCCCTGTGGGCGCCAATGATTCCCATGATTACTGGACAAGCTTGATTGGACCCGGGGAAAACGGTGGGTATGCATGCTCTGAATTTCTTGTTTTACAAGTCAAAAAAAAGTGGTTTCTCGTGGATTAGCTTCGTGTTAGTTCTGCTGCGACGGCCGTTGTCTGAAAATAATAAACTCATGGCCGGGAGAGGATCAAAATGGAGATAGAGATTTATTAAAACTCCCAGCCACAAGTGCTTATTTATCTCTGTGCCCGCCAGCAGCTTTTCCTCTCACATCGATGGGGATCTAATATTTTCTTCTGGCTGGTGTGGTGTGGCAAGTCATCCATTAGTCGTTATTGGGCAGAGACCCTTTCCCTTCTGTGAAATTGATCCCATCCCCTTCTTTGGGCTGGCTTGACAAGGCAAACTTCCCGTGTTCGTGGCGCCTGGAAATTTTAAGCATGATAGGTGGAATCCATGTTCCGGGGAGTATATTTTGGTTCCCCGCTAACCTAAGCGCTGGATTCAATGAAACGTGTGTCCTTGCTTGGCCCTTGTATTAGGTCAATTGGTAGTTTTCCATGAAATTCCCGAATACGAAATATCAATCTAAAATAATAAAGGATAATTTCGATAGAGCTGATCTGCAGCTATCTATTGTGAAAATGCAGCGGACTGTCCTAGTTTTCGCTGTGAATAACTGCCCTTTGCTGATGCCCGTCCGGTTGAAACGTGTGCGTGAAGGGGTTTTTAGCGCGCGTTAGAATCAGCCGCGGAAAAACCCAATTCCGGCCCCGACTTCCCCTTGAGACCGGATAGAAATTCTTACTAATCTTGGAAGGTCTGCATAGTCAGATTGTATGTAGCCTTTGTGACATATAGTCGAGCTCTGCTCCATAACTCGATATATCGCCCTTCAAATGGCGACTGAAATCAATTAGGAGGTAGGCTAAGTTGGTGGCTTTAAAGGTCTGGTTTTAGCCCACTAGAAAAACTATGTTCAGCATCACGGCTGCTATCCATTACGTCCCCTTCTAGTCTTGAAAGCCCACGGGACCTAATTATAGTAAACGTGCGGCACGTTCATCCTGTTAGTTCGAAATCCACGAGCTATTCCACAAGACTGGTGAGACAACCGATTTCGGGAGTGTCTTGGACTCAACGGGGAGGAAGCTAGAAATGCCACTCAATAGCAGGGCGACAGGCATCCAAATTGCGAGGGTGATAGAAGGCCCTAAGGGAGGTCATTTCTCTTTCGATATTGTCAAGGTAGAACATAGCATGCCTTGGTGTATTCCAGAGATATTGTTGCCCGAGGTGCCGTTCGCGAAATTGGTTGTTCCAGAAGAAGCGGCGCTCCTTGGATGTTTGAGCCCCTTGTCACATGAAACAACTATGCCGCATCAGGCCTACCTCCGCTGCGACTCTGAATTCCTCCTGTCGCTTCAACCTCCTCCCCGAGTCTCCTCATCTTCTCCGCCAGCATCCTCGGCCAACAGTCAGGGCATCGTTAGCAATGTACTGTTGAGCAACCGCCTCTAAAAGCATACGGGCACTACAATTCTTGTCCGATGGCCAGAAATAGCAGAATATACTTGACAGGACTCGGCTCGCCTATCCGCGGCCGCTGTCCCCTGGTCCAGACAAACGTGGAGTTTCGTCCGGCGCCTACAAGAAACTGGACCACTCTCATCCTGGCACACAGAACGGGACTGGTTGACGTCCACAGCAGCCCTAGTGCGAGGAATAGACATACACAATGTACAGTTCGGCGGCATCGGTGTGCTCAACCAATGTGATTGATACCCATTCTGCATTCGTCATTCGAAAGCAGACGTTATGCTTTCTCTAGCAAATGATGAGACACATTTGCCTTCATGAGAGTCCGGCGTCAAACCCTTAAGGGCCCCCCGTGTTTAGCTTCATACCCTGGTCCCTACTGTACTCGCAGACACTAACCTCAATTGTTGGCCAGATGGGTACTCCAACACAACTGCTAAACTCCTTTTGGAGAGTTTACTGGCCACCTTTGGAGAAAAATGGGGAAGTGGAGAATGTTTTGAGTCTTGCAGACTAGCTCCTCCATGATCGTCTTTAGGGAAAATCCTCGCGCGGGAGCAATATGGTTTGAACCAACCCATCCCGAGATCAATATACCTTGCTCGCCCTTCTCCTCTTCATTCATGTTTTTGCTCCGTTGTCCTTCCTGCCGGCCTTCTGATTTTCCACAATGCATGCTCTTTAGTCACTCCTTTTGTTCTTTATTTTTGTTATATTATTATACTATGAACCTCACTATTTGAAAATATACTTTTCGTCGATCGTTGCTCATAGCTGGAGTCTGCTGGCAGCCCAAAGTTTTTGGCAAAGACTAAACCTTCCTTTTGCTAAAAAAGGAAATTTTTTTTTAACGCGCCTTGCGGAACAAAGACATTCATAAAACCAACGATCTTTAACCCACGCGGTCTTTTTCGTTCTTGAGTCCCACGAAAGGATTGAACATATTTTCTTTGACAAAACACACCACATTTATCCCATTCGGAAGCCAGTCCGTTCTGTAGTAGCAGCCGCAGCTCTTAACGAGATTCGCGGAGCGTGGAGACGCCTATGTTCTGCAGGCCGTCCGAAGAGAATGATCGATATGTCGTCCAATGATATAAACTATAGTCAGGTCGGGCCAAGGTATGTTGAATTGGCTCGGAGTCGGCGTGTGTAGAGCCTTTCCTTACCCCGACAGTAATGCTGATATTTCATTCTTATAGAAACTCGTTACCATCAACCCTCATTTCATCCATGGGGTTTCCACCGCCAACTCCGGGAAGTAGCATACAAGTGAACAATATTGATTTTGGTAAAGTGTTAGAGGATGGGAATATGGCCACTAGGAACATGGCGAACACTACATTGAATTCGTGCGGACCCAGAGCCTGGGATATAGACAACCAACCTAATCCTAAGACAATAAATGACAGCGTTTATTCTCTGCCATACACACCCCAGTTCCACAAAACACCAGCTTGTAA